TCATTGAGGAGGTATTGGAATCTTACGGCGCCATATGTCATAATTGTCGCCATCCCAATTTCTCTCCTTAGTTAAGTCTGCCACCACTGTCTTAGCAGCCATTTCTACATACAGAGTAATAAATGCGCAGGGGAATATTAATGATAGCAACACAAAACAATATTTGGCAGCAAAAAAAGAATCTAAATTAAATAATGATAATTTTACACATGTCTAAAGATCGAAAATTTGCTATGCTCGTAAATCATCTTCTTGCGGCCTCTAGTGATAATTATCAAAATTTAATTTCATTCCATGCGCAAAAAACAATCAATCATCTCCCACTAATTATGGCATATACAAAGCATGATAAATTTCATACAATAGCATCTAAATAATAAATTTACAAACAACTCATGCTATATTTATTAATGATGGAATTCAAATAAATAAATAAATAATAATCATGCTTCTTTAATTGCAACATATTAAAAAACCCAAAAAAAATGTTGTATTCAATATTCAGATTATGCATAATTAAGTGTACATCTTTTTGAAATTTTCTGGAATTTTCTGAAATTTTCTGGAATTTTTCTGAAATTTTCTGGAATTTTTAAATAACTAATAACACACATAAAATTAGAAATAAAAATCCAGAAACTAAAACAGAAACAATATCAGATTATGCCATAATTAAAATGTACATCATTCTGAAATATTCTGAAATTTTTCTGAAATATTCTGGAATTTTAAATGACTAATAAAATACACATAAAATTAGAAATAAAAAATCCAGAAACTGATAAAATGAGACAATTTACCAGTAAATATAAAACCTTTCAGAAGTCTACAATAAATATTTTCAACCCCAGAAAATTATTTATGCAATACCAAAAGCAGTTTAAAGCATAAAAACATGAATTATTAACACAGGAAAAATAATTTATATTTTCTGAAAATTTTCAAAATTTTACAGAATGTAGAAAAATTAATTCTGAGTCTAACAGTACAAGCCACGCATAAAACAAATATGTAATGAATTATTATGACCATTTAACGCGATCAGAATTAAAAACAAAACAAACAGTGCCTAATACGCCAGCAGCCAAGCCAGCCGAGCCGGCGAAGGAAAACGGCGTGGCTCAGCACGCGGCTCGGCTCGCGGCTCAGCGCGCGGCTCAGCCCGCGGCTCAGAGCACGGCGCGCGTGCGTGGCGGAGGGCGCGCGTGGACAGCGCCGCTGACGCGCGCGTGAGGGCGCATGCAGGCGCGTCAGTAGAGCAGCTGGCGCGTGGGGCGCGTGGACACGGCTCACGGCGTCAGGTGGCGCGTGAAGACCACGCGCCGCTTCCAGGGTGTTTTCTCTGTCCGATTTTTGTACTGCCGGACTCCTTTTTTCAAAATAAACCTATTTATTGTATGAAAAAAGACATTAATGAACATAAGAAAAATATTTATGCTCCTAATCTGAATTTTTTCTTCCTTTACAAATATTCATGTGTATAATATATACATATACATATACATATACATATAAGTATAACACATGATTAAAGGAAACACGAAAATATCCATTAACATGCTCTGATACCAATGTAAACTAAAAACACAGAATAGTTAATTTTTTTTTAAAATCTCAATTGTCAATTAAACAAACTAAAATAAAAAATGAAAAAAAAAATTTGGCTCAAATTGCTAAAAAAGTGACTTTTGCTAAAACAAATAGAAATAAATGTTATTTTTCTAATAAAAGTGATGATTTATGAAATATCTTTTTTTATTTAAAAAAAATGAGCATGCTAAGTGATAATTTATTAGACATCTAAAATTATTTTTAGATCAAATGAGAATACCATTTTAAATTTTATTCTTACCTTTTTTTCTTTTTATCCAAATACTTTTATTTTGTAACAAATTTAATTTTATTATATTTAAATATTTTATTGTAATTTTTAAATTAAAAATAATTTTTGAAAAATCATATTTAAATAATTTTATGCCATTATAAAATGTATTTTTTTTTAATATCAACTTATTCGATAATCCCTTTCTAAAAAGTATATTTGTTTTTGTTCATTAATATTAAATTTTTAATTAATCTTATTTATTATTAAAAAAATAATTTTATATATTTATATATACAATTTTGTTTCGATTGCTCAGGTTATTTAGTATTTTTGTTTAGCTCCAATCAAATTTTTGAATTTTATATAAATTCTCACCGAATTAAAATTATTTTTCCCAATCTTTAAAAATTTGTAGTCTTGACTCGAGTTGCTTGGGTTCAACTTGCTCAAATTTACAACTTTAGTAAGGGGATTGAAAAGTTATATGATTAAAATTGTGATAAATTAAAAATTGATACATAAATTTTGATTAAATTATAAAATTTAAATTGTAAGTTTCAATATTTTTTTGTTTTCGTAATTTACATACAAAAATCTAACTGTTTATATTATTTTATATAAATGTATTTTATTAATTTTTACATCCCTTGCATAACACGAGTTTTCACTAGTTTTTATTATAAAAATATGTGTCATTAGTAAATTATTTAGAACATTGAAAAATAAATTAAAATACACACATTATATTTTAATAATGAAAAATCAAAATTTTATTGTAGCTCAGAGAAGCTTATTATAACTTATTTTAATATGAAAGTTTATATCAGACTGTTTAGTGTTATACTTAGAGCATTTCCAATGAACTCTTTTTAAGGCATGTTAACTATTATAATTAATATTATCATATTTTAATCACTCAAATGGACTACCTATTACAATAGTTATTTTAACAAAATTTTTCAAAGCTGGTTGCATTTGAAGAGTATTGGAAGACTCTTTAAACAGTTTATGTGTATAGATAGATAAAAATAAAGAATAGTGTTTGAGTATATAGATTAAAGAAAATTAGGCAAAATAAAAAATACTAACTATTTTATATTTTAGCTAATAAAAAATAAAGAGTATGATTGAAATTGTTCTTATAACCTATTAGTCAAAATTAATTTAAATAAACTTATAAAAAAAAATTGTTTAAAAGTTGAGAGAAAAGCATTTTCAAATTGTGTTTTTGCTTTTATTGAAAAATCTTTGAAATTCTCAACAACAAAAAAAAAATACAATTTTGGATTGTTTTAAAAAGTATATTAAAAGCTAATTTTTATTGTGTTTTTTAGTTTTTTTTATTATTATTATTATTAAATTGATAAGTTACCAGTAAAAAAAAAAAAAAATTTGCCGTTGACCCGTTGACCGGGCAGACATTCGGTAATACACAAGTAGCAATAAACAGTGCCTCGTTTGTTATAACAAGTTACTGTAGCCATTGCAAATTTTGACGAGTTAGAAGCGAGTTTGATGGAGTTAATTTTTTAAAATTTTTTAGCTAAAAAATGATTTTGAAGAGCTTGATGAGGATGCTCTAAGAATCCAACTAGTACATTATGCGAGTAATTTACAAGAAAAATGTTGTAGTTGTCGAACCGAAAAAGAAAACTTGCTTATGTGTCAAATCCTCAAAAAAAAATCCTTTTCATAGTGCGTGGCCCTACTGTATTCAACGTCATATAAAGGCAGATATTTGGATTTGATTTTGAATTTGGACTTAAATTTTCATCCCAAAGAGCGCTATTCGACTCACAATTAGAAGAGCAATGATTTTAGGCCAAAAAGTTAATCCCAAACCGACGAAGATGGTTGTTGCCTATTGGGTAGAGATGGAAACCACTTATCATCGAATCAAATATTTTGATCACTTCCAACTTTCACACTGGTTTATCATTGCTCTTTATAGGATGCTGATTGGGTGTGAATATAATGCGGGACCTAGGAGAGTCAAACATGCTCTTTGAGGGATTAGAGATGTTTTTGGACTGATGTAGCTAGATGGGTCTGGGTACATGAGACACTATTTCTGTTCTTTTTGGGTTGATGTCTCTGTGCTAACTCATATTGAGTTTCTAGTATAGAGCTCCCACTTGTAGGTGTTCTCAGCGGTCGCACGGTGCATTGGCTAGTATGAGATTGTTCGTTTTTTGGAGAGATTGAGATAGAGATGTGGCAGTGTCATGCCAACTCATGTGCGAGTGGGAGATGTTAGTAATGGGCGCCCATGTGGTATGACCATTAAATTTGAATTTGAATCCTTATCCAAATAGGTTTTGAATTTGAAATCAAACCTATTTAGGATAACCACTCAAGATACAGATGTTATCAGTTTTAAACTGATATGGATAGATATTATAATATAATATATATCTGTTATATGGTTATGGGTAATCCAAGTGAGAAACAACGTTGAGTCTGTTTCTACCCATATTCTGACTCTCTCCCAAAAACACTACGATCAAGTCTTTGACACTGTGGTTGGTGTGGGTGATATTCAATCTGTGATATCACTCCACTGCTGGGTTGGTTCATCAAGAAGTTCCCTGGAAGCACGTGATTTATCCAAGAAGGTTCTATCATCAAGAAGGTATGATTTGATTATTTTATCCGCTGCATATTCTGTGTTTTTAGTTTACAGTTCCGCAACCGATTCTTCACAATATTCATAGCTGAAAATACCCTCTCAACAATAGCAGTTGCAACAGGTAAGATTAAAAGTCAAGAGCAAATATACCAATGGATATACTTTGTCTCCTCCAGTCTCTACCATTTTCTTAGCAAGATCGGCAATTCCATTCAACATTGAGAACTCACTACTAGATAGCATGTCGATAATATATGTATCAAGTTGATCATTAAGTACCATGAGCTCTACTGAAGAAAATTCTTTGGGATAAAATTTAGCAAGATGAATCAACTTTTTCTTATCAAAACTAGAGAAAGAGTTAGATGGATTCAAACATGCCACACAAAGTAACAACTTAGTGTTCGACTCAGTGAAACGAGCATTTAGTTCTTGAATTTGCATATCCAAAACAGTGTAGAATAACTCAGCACGATAGTGATGTAAGTTTGTAATTTCTTAAGCATTGCGCCTTTTTCTCACTCGAGCTACAAACATATCTTTCATTTAGGGAACATCAATTTCATGATTTTCACAAAAAGACAAAATATTATCAAGTAAAGATGTCCGCCCACTCTCCCTCATCTTTTGGAGCCGTACTTTAGAAATTTGAACTAAATTCATGGCATTAACAATATCTTGATCTTTCTTTTGTAGTGCTTGCGATAACTCACTTGTAATAGCCAATATCGTTTTCATCAAATGAAAGTTGAATACAAACAAAAATGATTGAATTGAGTCCAACAATACATTTGCTTCTGCTCGTTGTTCTGAATTTGAACCATCCTCCGAAATCATTTCAAGCACATCAATCATTGTTGAAAACATACTAGCCAAGCTGACTAAAGTACCATAGTGTGAACCCCAACGTGTATCACCAGCACATTTAAGAGTAGTTTCTTGATTTAAGCCTTGCCCACTAGATAGCTCTCCAGTATTAAGTGCCTTAGCAACTTTTGCAGCTTGCTTCTCCCTAACAATATCTCGGCGTTTACATGATGCTCCAACAACATTCACCTCATTAGAAACCAAAGTGAAAAGTAAAGCAATTTGATTATGATATTTTGTCATGGCTACAAGTGCCAATTGCAATTGATGAACAAAACAATGAACATAATACGCACAAGGATTCTCTTTCAGTATAAGTGTTTTAAGACCATTGAACTCACCTTGCATATTACTAGCCCCATCATATCCTTGACCCCGCAATCTAGAAATACTCAATCCAAGTGTAGAGAATAAATTGTCCATAGCTTGTTTTAGTGAGAGAGCATTCCTATTAGCAACATGCTTAATACCCAAAAAGCGCTCAATCACTTGGCCTTTTTTGTCAACATATCATATTACAACTGCCATTTGCTCCTTGATTGATATGTCACAGGTTTCATTAATCAAAATAGAAAAAAGTGAATCACCAAGATCTCTAATAATCACATTGATAGATTCAAATACGGCCACATTTACAATGTCTTTTTGAATATCAGGAGATGTCAACTTGAGATTTTGTGAAGCATTGCTCAATGTAACCACTTTGACATCTTCATTATGATCAGCAAGAAACTTGAGAAGTTCAAGAAAATTTCCTTGGTTACTTGAATTTTTAGATTTATCATACCCACGAAACGCAAGTCCTTGTCTTAGAAGAAATTTAACACAATCAGCCGATGAATTCAAACGGGTTCAATACTCAATTCGAGCTCGATCAAATTGTTTGAAAAAAATCGTTTTCATATGTTGGTTCTGGTTTAACAAGTCTTGACACTTACTCGAAGTTTGATTATTCCTTGGTTACTTGAATTTTTAGATTCATCATACCCACGAAACGCAAGTCATTGTCTTAGAAGAAATTTAACACAATCAGCCGATGAATTCAAACGGGTTCAATACTCAATTCGAGCTCGATCAAATTGTTTGAAAAAAATCGTTTTAATATGTTGGTTCTGGTTTAACAAGTCTTGACACTTACTCGAAGTTTGATTATGAGCACTATTGGGATCTCCAACATGAGTTTGAATTTTTTCTTTTTTCTTCCAATTTGAGAAACCCTTACCAACAAAAGAATCACCACCAGTTTGATCTCCAATATCGAGTTTGAAAAGATAACAACATAAACAAAATGCTGCATCTTTCGCTACGCTATACTCCAACCAATTAGGAAATTCACTAAACCAAGCCTGATTAAATCGCCGAAGTTTTTGTCCAAATGATTTTTGTGGAAAATTATGATCACAAGGTTGACAAGGACCTTTTTGTAGATATGCCCTACGAATTCGGTCTCGATCATTAGCATTATAGTCCATAATCCGAGGTCGTAGTCCTAGATCTGCATGAAGGTCTACTAAGTTGATTTCTATGCGATTTTGTTTTGCGGAAGAATAATTATCATCTTTTTCTTGAGAAAGAGATGATTCCAGTTTTGATTTTTTTTTTTTGAAATATTTCTCCATGACTATTTAAAAAAACTAAAAATCAAAATAAAAATTCATAATTAAAATCTCAAACCCCCCCACAAATCAAAATCTCCAATTTTAATACAAATCAAAAAATTTAAAATAGCACAAATCACAACAAATCAAAAATTTTAATTTTAGCACAAATTATAACAAATCAAAATCCCTAATTTAAATATTAATCACTGCAAATTAATATTTTTAATTTTAGCACAAATCAAATCCCTAATTTTAGCACAAACACAACAAACCAAAATCCCTAATTTTAAGATAAATCACCACCAATTAAGATTCATAATTTTAGCATATCAAAATCTCTTATTTTAACATAAATAATAACAAATCAAAACTTAACAAATAATTATAAATTAATACTCATAATTTTTATTTAAAAGTAAAAAAAATAAAAAATAAAGTTACCTATAAACAATGAAGAGAAAATACCAAGGTTGTAGTGTAATCCCAAATCTGTGTTGTGTGATCCTAATTTGGTGAATCGCGAGTCGGTAAATTGCAAAGCAACAAAGAGAGACAAAGAAGATGAAGAAAATACGAAGACACTTCACAAGTACTGTGAATAAATAAAAAAATAAAAATTTTCATACACTTTTAGGGTTTTAGAGTTTAACCTTGTTGTAATTGGAGTTGTGTGCACTCACCAAAAAAAAAGTTGTGCCAGTATTTGATTGGGATTAGGATTCCAAAAACAAAAAAAAAAAACACAGACGTGGATGCGTCGTGCGTGTAGCGTGTGTGTCAGTGGGTTAGTGGGTTTGAAATTGTGTATTAGGAGGGGCACAATCTGTGTGTGAAAGACAGACCACACTTAAAAAATAAATAAATAAATAAATAAAATTCAGGGGGGGCACGTGACCCCTCTGAGCCCAACGCCCCTCCGCCACTGAGTAGATGTATCTGAGTCACTAGGAGATTCGAAAGGTGGTTGTTGTGTTAATACAGTAATTCCTTTTTCCTTAGAAGGGGTAGATAATTTGGTAAATAATTGTTCAATAGCTTTAACGGTATTGGTGTCTTATGTAACACCCGCCTCTTATTTAGCTATTAATTTTATGGTTAATCTTAATTATGTATTTATCTGTGCATAATATGCTTATTTATGTGCATTATGTTGTTGACAGATATGTTCATTTATGAAAAGACTTGTCTGATTTGTTAAATCGTAAGACTATAAAACTAGCTAGTGGATTAAGTAGGTAAAATTGACACATCAAAATCAGACCAAGTAATAATTTAATTAATTAACTAGTTAATGCAAGTAAAGGCTCTCACTTAATTAAAATAGGTTAAACTAGAGATGTAATTATATATATGTGTGTGACCTCAATTAGAAGAGAGAGAGAGAGAGCGAGAGAGAGAGACACAATCTGAGAGAGAGAGTGAGAGAGAGTTCTAGAGTGGAGTTTGTGTGGGTGATCAAGAAGAAGAAGAAGAATGAGAGAATTTGAGATAACTTCATCAATTAACTCATTAAGGTAAAAGTCCTTTCTAATTTCTTACATGAAGATGATTTTCCATCTTGAATTCTTGGAAATAATAGAATCAAGGGAGAGAGTAGGGAGTTGGGTAGTATAAGTGATGTTTTAACCCTAACAAGAGGAGTTCTTCTATATTCTTGCCTAAATGACATTACTTAAGCCCATTCTCTTGTATAACCTTAACCTAGATTACCATGATTTGTTGAAACATAGAATTTCCATATGCACAGAGTTTTGTTTCTCTTTAACCTTGAAGTTGTTTATGAGATAGTAAAATTTAAGTTTGAAGTTGAACTCTATCCTTGGTTTGAACTTGGGGATTTTTTTTTATACATTATGTTTGCTAATGTTTGGCCCTTAATTTGATTGAATTTGGGTGTGATTTTTGGTGGATTGAAGCTCTAAAAACATAGCAGAAATTCGGTTCTGGAACACCCAGAACTGTATGTGTGGCTAGGGAGCCCGCACGTACGGGAAACACATGTGCACGTGCGGCGGGTAGGTCCGCACGTGCGGAAAACAAGGGAGAAGAATGTGCAATTCTGAAATAAAAGCACCTAGTGGTGCATGTGCGGCACACGTGCGGCAAGGAACTTCGCACGTGCGGCTGTTTGGCAGCCTCAGTTTCACTTTTCTGTGTCATTTACCCCACTTCCGGACCTCCAATAGCATGATTTGCACCCGTAATTGAGGTCCATTTGTATTGCATGAACGTTTAACAAAAATTAACGACATTTAGACCAACTAATTCCTAAGAAATGAAACTATAGTTGGGTGTATAACAAATTAAGTGTGTTACGCTTGTATCTGTCTGTGTAGGTCAAACACCACATTCCAGTCACCTGCATCACGGAACCCACCGTGAGTAACACTGCTGTAAAAATATGTTTAATTTAAATTATCTTTTCTCTGCATCGAATTTATGCATTACTCCAATATGTTTCTCATGTTGATGAATGATAATTCTATCTCAGTTTTCATTGCTTACTGTGAAGACCCTAGCACCTATTCATGTGATCACAGTTCTGTCAGTTCCATTTCATGGAACTCCTGTTTAATATGGTGTTGACTATCATATCTGATCTCCGGTCTTCATGGCTGCCTGTTCGGTTTTCATGACCGCCTGTTCGGCCGTCTAGGTTACCTGTATTTATAACTTTTGGATATTGTTGTATTATGCCTCTCACTTGTGATACGAACCTGCTCAGTATATACTTTATTTTACATCTTATTCATCATTCAGAATCTTTTTACTCAGTTGTTATTCACTGGGTTTTAGCCCATGTTTTGTATATATGTATATGTAGGCAATCCAGTTCAGGAGGGAACATAGCTGACAATCTGGCCTCCGTTTTGGTTAAACCACCTTTTGTGCCTCTCGTCAAGGTTCCTATCTGTCGGAGCACGGGCTAACCCAGTGATTACCTTTCCCACACACTTGTGATCGGTTTTCATTGGTGTTATAGTTGTTGTTGATGGGAATGACCTATCCCTTTTGGTTGTGATGTAATTATAAGAAACTTGTAATGCTTGGACGTACATGTGTATATATATATAAATATATAGCTACGTTTTTGTCTCATGTAAGTTCACAGCTCGTTGGACGTTTTCCTTTTATATATTAGCTTCTGCTAGCCCCATTCATTTGCTTTGTTTAGTTAGGCCTTCGGTAATCGCGGATTACTGGCCGGTTACGACACTAAACCTATAGGGGCGGGTTTGGGTTGTAACATCTTAGGTGACTAAACTTAATCTATTCCTCGTGCCAGGAAGATTAATAAGAGGTTTTTCTAAAGGTTTACTTGTTGAAGTATGATTATTTGAATAATCATCAAAAGTAGTTTCAATTTTATCTAATTGTTTACCAATAGTTTTCAAACATTGATTTGTATAATTATTCTGTTCAATGACTTTTTTAATTTCATATTCGTCACTGAGTAGTTTAAAAGGAGAAGCATGCAAGATAGGTCCTTTATGTTCAATGAGAATAATTTCTAAATGAGGATGACTAGAAGAAACAGTGGTATTTGGGGAGGTTTTTCATTTGGTTTTGGTAATAGTATTAACTTTGTGATAATAATTTTCAAGATAATCAAAGAAATTGACTTCAGTACCAAATTCAGCCATGAACTTGTACCATTTCTTAGTTATTCGGGATTGTTGTGGTTTATTATAAGTATTTTGATAAGTTTGTCGTTTTAATTTATTATCTTTAGATTGAAATTCAGCATGTAATCTATTAAGATTAGGTGCAAAGGTTTTACTAAGAGTTAATAATTGTGAATTAACTGGAGAAAATACTTCAAAATCAGTTTGAGTAAGTGAATCTTGAGATGTAGTATCTTCTTCATGAAGATGTTTATGTGTTAAATAAACTGGTTTACTAATCTGAAAAGTCGGAGAATTATTTATTTCTTTTAACTTACTAGCAGTAGCATGTGAGGGTTGACAAATGCGGAGTTTCCTATCTTTTCTAGTAAATAATGGTGTACTAAAATTTTCATTTCCTTCAGTGGGGATACTGGGGGTACTATGGAGGATTGACTACTATGTGGGCCATTAAAATGTATGTGGACTGTACCATCATCGTATTGTTAAATTTGTTAAATATCATTGCTATCAGATTAATGTGGGTGTGAATAATTTTCATTGACTGTCACCTAGTTATTTGGAAGAGTGACTTCATTCTAACAAATAGTGGTAGGAACATCTATATTGGCTTCATTAGTACTACCTTGTATGAGTACAATTTTATCTTTTGGGCTTTTAACTAAGGTATGTACATTAAGATTAGTTTTTATATATTTATAATAAATATGGTAAATTAAAGCAATAGAATGGGCACTACCAAGCATTTTAGTAAAAGCACCAGAAATTTGGATATTCAATGTTAAAGCTTTTAGTATGTGTGGATCACGTAAACTTAAAATAAAATCAGGGAAACAATTAAAATGGACAGGTCCTTTATGAAAACCAAATTCCATCATATCCATTAAACTATCATAATAATTAATAAATCGAGCATCTCTTAAACATAATAAAACTGAAGAATTATGTCCTTGAGTAGTCAGTGGTTTGACTGCAACTTATATTAAGCCTAGATGAATAAAATTATGATCAGTAGATAGATATTTTTTGATTGATTCTTTAGTTAGTAATTGACATGTTTCCTGAATTTTTGTTAAAGCATTAACTTTTTCAACAGTTTTGACATGTAAATCTATATTAAAAGATGATTTAAAAAACTGATTTATATATTTCTTTAATTGGTACTTTTGGAATGTTCCAACTTAAATCTATTTTTAAATCTTGAAATTCATGATCTTCATTTATGACTGTATCAAGTATGAGAGCTAAAGTTGTAAATCTAGAGATCGACTCATTTTCTAAATATTGTAAATTAGTTCAAGAGAATCTAAATTCTTAATTGACTTATCATATTTTCACATATATGTTCGCACATACCCTCTCCGAGGATCCCTAAATCCATCAATGGCCTAACTTAAAGACTTACACAGGATGTGAGACGAAAGGTTGGTGGCTACTAGCAGAGTGGAAAATAGATGATAAGTCCACAAGAATAGAGGAATTGTGAAATAATTGTACAAAGATAGAAACAAGAAGAATTAAACAGAAATAACTTCACAATATTATTATTGTTGTTTTTTTGGCAAAATAAGAACTTGAATAGAAAACAGTAAAAACAGTCGTATGGATCCACCCTTTTGAAGCCACTGATGCATTTGATATTTGCTATTCTCGTAACCAACTTTTGGATTGTGTTGGGTATTGATTAGAATGAAGGGTAACGCGAAAATGATGGCTACAATTGCTTAGAGAACTCAAATGGTGCGCCAGATTATTAAGCCAAAATCATTCTTGACTATGCTCTTAAAAAAAAACCTCTCCATTGATGTGCTAAATCTTGAGCTAAACATGGCCATCCCAAATCTAGTGACAAATTTGGTACAAGATTTAGCTTTCACCACATCAACAAAGGCGATCATAATTACCAGATGCCGTTGGGGGGGGTTGTTGGTGTGGGGGGGTTGTTGGTTTATCAATGATCAAAAATTGATATGAATTGTACCTGCCGCTATTGATAGACCCAACAAATTTTTTTTCTTGACATGTATTATGAACATATGAGAAGGAAAAGAAAAATAGAGTCCGAAGAGATGAATGGAGACAATTAGAAAGATAGGAGACGATGAGGCCTCACTGTGCAACCACAAAAAGAATGGGGCAGTTGCAATCATGTTGCGATCATTAATGATCAACTCTTATGAAACCTAAAATTAGAAGCAATAAGCACTTGCTACTTTTCATCAAGAGTAAAGATTAAGAAAAACTTGTATCAGATAAAGACAATGCTTTGGTAAAAAATAAATAAAATAAAAATAGCAACAATTTTTCCTACTCGCTGATTTCTAGTCATGCAGTAGATTGTTTCACTGCAGGTAGTTTCATGACCAGCCAGGCACCATCCTTTAGCCCCGCACCAGTACAAACATTGCATATTAAGAGGCATTGCCACTATTAGACCACAATAAAAAGGTGTAACCATGGAATTAAACAATGCAGATTGGAAGCTATTTGCATTAACATAAAAGCCGGGTTTGCAGGATAGGAATAGCTTGATGCCGCCATTCATATAACCTCCCTAGCTGTTAACCTTGCATCCTAACAACAATTTTTCCTACTCGACTGATTTCTAGTCATGCAGTAGATTGTTTCACTGCAGGTAGTTTCATGACCAGCCAGGCACCATCCTTCAGCCCCGCACCAGTGCAAACATTGCATATTAAGAGGCATTGCCACTATTAGACCACAATAAAAAGTTGTAACCATGGAATTAAACAATGCAGATTGGAAGCTATTTGCATTAACATAAAAGCCGGGTTTGCAGGATAGGAATAGCTTGATGCCGCCATTCATATAACCTCCCTAGCTGTTAACCTTGCATCCTAACTATATATTATACTATGGCACAGGCTTCTATTTGATCAACCTGATAAAAGCTAGCAACACCGTGCCACGTTTAGCTGTAACTTCCTAGAAGCCCAAAGAATAGATGGCACAATAAACCTAATGATCTAACGAGTCTTAATAACCAGTTATAATGCTATGCCACCAAACTTTACAATGAAAGATCAAACCTTTCAAATAAAAATCTGAGAAAATGACCATACCCTAACACTCTTTAACTAATTGTCTAATGATGCATGATAGGGCATAATATAAATAGACACCATTTAAGAAGAAGGAACATAATTTGATGTAAAAAATGTAGCTTTGACGCCAATACAAATAACTGGAGAATTGATAATATATTGTTCACAAAATCCTGCTCAAACAGATAAGAGTACCATTTCAATACTTCCAACAAAGAATTGATAATATATTGTTCACAAAATCCTGCTCAAACAGATAAGAGTACCATTTCAATACTTCCAACAAAACTATCAAAACACAGAAGAAGATAATCTCATCGCCACACAAAACTAAGACCTTGGCTTCTCTTTTTTCTCTTTGAATAGAGCCAGAAGAGAGACACCAGATACCTTGACAACCTTGAATCTAACACCGGGAATATCTCCCACGGCATGCCCTTTACGCCCAAATCCAGCAATCAACACCTCATCCTACAGCAAAAGATATTAAAGGGTTATAAGTCACCAAATAACAAAAAACAACAGTCAAATGACGATGCCAGCCTTTCAAAGAACACTTACATTCTCTTCTATATAGTTTAAGCAACCATCATTAGGGACAAATGCGGCGATCTTCTTCCCATTCTTAATCAGTTGAACCCTAGCACACTTTCGGATAGCAGAGTTCGGCTGCTTAGCTTCAATACCTCTGTACGTGTCAGTCAGCAGCCATATGTTAGGTTCAGCTAAAAAGTTCACTTTTCCACTAAAAAAGCCAAAAACAACTTTCCCACTAACAAAAAAAGAAACTTCTTTGGCATTTCCTAAACGCATTAGTTTTTTTAGATTCTAAAAAAGCCAAAAAAAAACTGGAAAAGCCAATGTCGAACCCCCAATGGAATAATCACATATGATTTTTTTAACAAAAGCTAGTGAATAAAAAAAATATGGGAAGAGGCTTACATCTTTTCAAGGACAATGCCTTTGGCATGCGAAGACCCGGCAAACGGCTTCTTCCATTCATTGCCAAGGTGGGACTTCTTATATGCTTTGTCAGCCCACCTTTGCCTTCTACGGTGGGACTTCAATTTGCGCCCAGCTCCCATACCACGTGTCTTCCTGTGATACAAGAAATTTTCACATTACAAAGCCATTCAAAAGAGGGCTAATATTGCTATGCTACATTGCCCAATTGGAGCATGCCTAAGAAACAATAAAAACACTAGGTTCAAACAAGCTCATTCAATAGTTTCAAAAGCTAATGAATATTGATGATAACCATGGAATGTACTTCCAACAAAAAAACTAAGGTCCTGTTTGTTATTGTCTTTCTTAGTTTTAATTTTTTGAAAAAACACAAACTTGTTTTGGAACTGCTTCCAAAAACTGTTCTAACCATTTTTTTTTTAAACAATTCACTTTTTGTTTAAAAAAAAAAAGTTGTATCAAATTTTCAAAAACTATTTTTTTTTTCCACAAAACTGATAAATGGTACGAAAACAAAAGTGGTTTTAGACTTTTCATTAGTTTTATTTTCAAATGAATTGTGAATAATACTAAACAAACAGGCTCTAAGTTTTCATACAACCCCAGATTTCGTAATTTGCCACAAGTAAGAACAAAAACAAAAACTTTCGATTATGAAATTCACCATTATCCAACCCATTGAGGTGAAACGTCCATTTTCCTCTAACCAAACAAAGATAAATTTAACATTCAATATCCGAGTTTCACAAACAATAAACATCCTTATGCTTCAATCTTAAAGCTACATATATATATATATATATATATGCAATAGAGAAGAAAAGTAAAGATTGTAGATGAAAGAAAGTGGAATCATACCCCATAGCTGCTGAAAGAAAAGCGTTGTTCGACTCTCAGACGAAGAAGAAGAAGATGATAGGTAGCCGCCTCTGTAAAACCTAATCTTCAAATTGAAGCCACAGAGAACACATCTATATATATATATATATATGTAACACTTATTTATTTTTTAGGTTATACCTATTTCTATTGAAATTTTTAATTCTCATAATAAATTATCTTTTTTATTAATAAATTATTAAATAATTTAATAATTTTAATAATATTAAAATTTTATTTTAATTAATAATTCTTATAATTTTTTATTGTATAAAAGAGTAGTTAGAAAATTTATTTTTTTAATTAATTTTATTAAATAAAAAATTTTACAAGGGAGTAATTATAATTTTTTAAATTATAAGAGATAATTTATATTTTAAATAAATTTTAAAGAATATATTTAATTTATCTTCTATTTTTATTTTTCTAGGAAATTATGCAATTCCCACCAATTTCTCGTGGTTTGGGCAGTGTTTTTATAGATATGTGTAATAGTTGAGTGTGGAATTGTAATTTTTGTAAATAAAATAAATCTCGTTAATGATTTAAAAAAAAAAAAATCAATCATGTGTTTGATTTAAGTTTTTGGATGAAAATTTTTTTTAAATTGAGTTTTTTGATTTTTATGTTTTTTTTTTTTAGTGAATATTTTTAAAATTTTAAAATTTTTTTTATATTTTTAGATGTCCTTATTTAGATGTATCTAAAAAAGTAAAAAATTTGTGAAAAAAATTTTAAAAAATTAATAAATACATAAAAATATAAAAAATATACTAATTCTTGATTTTTTTTATATTTTTGGTATTTAGTGAATTTTTAAAAGATTTTTTTAAATTTTTTTACTTTTTAGGTGTATTTAATTGTTAGGTGTGCCTAAAAAGTAAAAAAATTACTTAAAATATTAAAAATTCAGTAAAAATAAAAAACAAACGAAAAATAAGAAAGTAAAATTTTCTTAAAGGTGTTTTTGAAAAAATGGAACCAAGCAATGCTTTTTATATTTTAATATTGTTACTTATTAGAATTTTGATAACTAAAGTGTAATTTATCATAATACAAACTATATAGGAGAGGAAGAAAAAAATTATACAGTGTGTTGGTTTTAGTTTTGTGAGTTCAGTTTTCTGAAAATTCATTTTTTATTTTTTATTTTTTTTTGTTTTTAGTGAATATTTTTAAAATTTTAATCAATATTTTTATTTTTTTAGATGCCCTCTTACCCTTATGATGTATTTAAATAGTAAAATATTTGTGAAAAAATATTTTAAAAAATTAATAAATACACAAAAATATACTAAATTTTCACATTTTTTTGTATTTTTGGTATATAGTGACTTTTTAAAGTTTTTTTTTACAAATCTTTTACTTTTTAAGTGTATTTATGTTAGGTTTGTTTAAAAATTTAAAAAATTACTTAAAATATTAAAAAAAAATTCAATAAAAAAAAATATATGAAAAATAAAAAGTAAATTTTTCTGAAAATCACAACGAAGCAAAGTATCCATATGTACTTTCAAATTATGTTAATCTAAACCTTATGTTTATTTTTTTACCCCAATTTTACTCTTAGAATTTTCCATGAGGAGAAAATTGCAAAAACTCCATACATTCTTAGAGAAAAAACGTGGATAACAAATTGGACAAAGGATTAACATCTTAAGTAACCCTCTTGCAAATTTTGTTAGAAGGTTTATGGGTTACCTATTGAGAGAAAAAATAAATAAAATATTTTGAGACTACGGATCGGACGGATGGGTGACATTAACTTGAAATGTACAAATTATGAATTCAAATTTAATTGTGTTTCGTAATTCCACATATTAAAATATAAAGTTTGATTAAAATACGAATCACTCTATGTGGTTCTGAAAATTACATTTCACCTCCTGAGGTTTTAAATTTCATAACAAATAGTCCATTTTATTAATAAATCATAAAGTGAATTAACAATTTTTAATGATATTAGAAATATGTTTCAATTAATAATTTAGGTAATCTTATTATTATCTAGGAGAACAATTATGAATTTTATTTTTTTAGTTAATTCTGTTAAATAAAAAATTCTAACGAGAGGGTATTTATAATTTTTTAAATCATATGAGGTAATTTATATTTTAAACAAATTTCAACAGGTGTATTTATAATTTACCCTAAAATATATAATTCAATAAATGTTTGGCCCATTGGGTTTGACGGGAGCTGTGAGGTGAGTTGAAGCCCAGCCATTGGATGCTGTTTGGGGCATGTTTTCTTTGTTTCTCTATAACCAAATTTGTGAACTTCTATAATCCTCTCCCCTTTTCATTTTCTCTTCTATTCGTCTCATAAAGCAACCAGCCTGGTTTGGAAATATACTATTTTACTAATTTTTTAATTTTATGATTAAAATATGAGGTAAAAAAAATTTATATGTTTGGAATGATTTTTTAATTTTTTACGAAGAGATATGTAAAAAATAGATAGAATAAAGAATTTTTAACTTTTTATATAGTTTGTTAGATTTTTAACTTTTTTAATAATTTTTTAATTTTTAAACTAAAAAGTGATATTTCCAAACGAGATCGATTTATAAGTTTTTGTTAATAAGTGCCCAAAAGGATTCGTTAATAAGTTTAAAAAACTATACAGCTATTTAGATTTGAGAAAATGTCTCGTAACTCAAATTTTGTGGCTCAAAAGTGGCTCAAATGGCCAAAACGACGTCGTTTAGGCCATTTTTATGTTGTTCTGTACTCAAAACGACGTCGTTTTAGCCATTTAAACCACTTTTGAACCACAAAATTTGAACTACGTATTTGTTAATTAATACTTCAAATTTTGTTAGGGTCAACTCTAACTTTTTCAAGAGCCTTTTTTTTATTAAATTTTTAAAGCTCTATAGTGGCTGCTTTTGTGGGCTTTGCCCTAAAGCCAGTCCTGCTAATACCCTTGCGCTATGTTTGTTTTTTTATTAAATTTTTAAAGCTCTATAGCGGCTGCTTTTGTGGGCTTTGCCCTAAAGCCAATCCTGCGAATACCTTGGGCAATGTTTGGTTAGACAGACATAATTTTGATATTGGACTAACAATCTAACAAAATACATAATTCGATATTTGGCTAAGAAAATTAAGGTTTCGACTAATAGTCCATCCATATATGATGTCTCTCATATTGAATCCCAAGAGGGGGATAAGATAAAAAATAGAGAACTAAGGTTCAGACTAATTAGTTAAATTTCAAAACTTATAGGATTTTATTAGTCTCTCTTTATAATTCTAAATCAATCCAAGGATAGGATGTGATATACAATTCAAAAGGATTGATAATCTCAAGATTAACAATCTTAAGAATGCTAATTTTATCTAATCCAGTCCGTTCAAACAAACATGCCTGGTGGGATTGAAAGTGAGAAACATGTGAGACCCATCGGATTGTTAGCCTTGCGTTTAATTGCGAGATAAGGTGGAAAGGATTGGATGGAATGCTAATTTTATTTAATCGATTCCGTTTAAACAAACATGCCCCTAAAGCATGTGTGATTGCCTCACTAATGGTGGGATTAAAAGTGGAGAACGTGTGAGATTCAATGAATTGTTAACCCTGCGTTTAATTGCGAGATAAGGTGGAAAGGATTGGAGGTGGAAACACGTGGATCCCGCCAGATAATCCAATCTATTACTTATTTCTACCTTACTAAACTATGAATTATCTCAATACTAGTGTGGAAGATTAAACAAATAAATAAATAAATAAAACATTAAATATTGCCATAAATATTGTGACATTAAAAAGATTAGACACCTCTGACTTAATTTTTTCTTTCATCCAATAGTAAAAAATAATTTAATCATTTTTATTTTTATTTTGTACAGCTCCTATTCAATCATTTATCTCATAGTATAAATTATCTCCCATAATCCTATCATATATTCAATAATTCATTCAATCTAATCTCATGGTATAATTTATTCCTTACAATCCCATCAATCTTATAATATCTAGTTCCAGCATATTTGGGCATCCATGCTTGAAATAAACAAGTAACCATTAATTAACCATGGTAATTTGAATCCACATATTTGATCTACAAAACTCAGTTGGAACTACCAGTAACAAGTATTGAAGCAAGAAAGACAACCATTGTATACTTTGCTTGTATGTAATGTGCAAAAACCATTAGCCAAAGAGTGATATTCTGAGAGTGTACCACCTTACCATTATGTCCAAACAACAAGAACATACCAGTTTCTATTCTCCAATCAATTAAACCATAAACAGAAAGTTACAACAGAAAAATATTACAATCCTTAGGGTGTCCATCAAAACCTACCACATATGGCAAGTGAAACCAAATACAAAGTTCATCCATTTCCAGATAGCTATACAAGGACAGAAAAAAGGGGTTTTCCTAGAAAATCTCTTCAATACTTGGCAGCCACAAAAAATCTGTTAAAGAAACAAACCAAGAGTTAACATCATATGAATATAACATAAAAGAAGACAATAAAACAATTAGGCTCAGTTTGGATCTTAGATTTATAAAAAGAAAATGAAAAAGGGAGGAAAATTTTTCTTCCCTTTTCTTTTCCCTCCACAAATCTCTATAAATCCAAGATCCAAATACAGCCTTCGTGAAAAACAACATACAACCTGCCAAACAATGCAACTACTTCTGGCTCTTCTTCAACAACACACCAATCTTCTTTAACATGTTACCATTTTTCTTCTTGGGTGATGATTCATCATCCATCTCTTCCGAGAAAGGTGAACCTAGCTTTCCACCAATAGTATGGTAGTTGCCGTCGAGCGACCTTGTTCTCTCCACAAACTTATCATTATTCCCCGTTGAAAGCATAGCCGTAGCTGCCTCTGCAGCCTTCCTCCACTGGTCCGATTGCACTTTCAATCTCCTCAACTCGGCTTCTATCTCGGAATTTGCAGCCTGCGCTGCATCGAGCTGTTCAGTAACCCGAGCAGCTTTTCTGCTACTTTTATCGGCTTCCTCAGTTAAATAGCCTAGCTTCATAAGTGCTTCTCGCTCTGCAGCCCTAGCTGCTTCTGCGGAAGCTAAAGCCTCATCATTCACTTTATTCCGCTCCATCTCTCTCTTCTTGATTTCGAACTTCAGCATCTCATTTTCCTCAGTTATACCCTGCAATTCGGTTTCTTTATCCAACAAACTTGCCTTCAAATCTGCCAAATCTACCTCAAAATTCTTCATCTCTGATTCCAATTTCGATTCCTTTTCAGTTGACTGATTTTTCTCAATCTTTTGATTCAGTCCTTCATTCTCCTCACAAATATCAAGCAATTTAGTTTCCTTGGCCATCAGTTTTGCCTTCAACTCTTCAATGTTAGCTTTTGCCTTCTTCAAATTCGACTCCAATTCAGCCTCTCTCAATGATGACTCTGATTTTGAGCGCTCCACTAGTTCATAAGCACTTCGAATCTGCAATGTGCTATGAATATATTCCTCCTGGTACCTTCTCTCAGCTGCATCTAAAGCTGATCTTAATTGACCCACTTCAAATTTCACATGATTAAGCTCTGCTTTGAGCTGGTCTGAATCCTCATGTTCTCCATTTTCCCTACCACCTTTGACATTGCAGGAATCATCTGCAGAATTCTTGCTGCTATTGTTACCAGCATCAGCTTGGAGTTTGCTAACAAGCTCTTCCAATAAATTTACTCGAGCTTTTGACTGCTCCAACTCCACAGCCAAGGATCTGTAAGCATCCATTGTTCTAACGCCTTCAGATCTGAGAGTTTCTTCAGCTGTCTTCGCCATTTCCAATTGCATTCGAGTTTTACTAACAACTTCCAAGGCCCGTGCTTCAGATTCTCTGCAATCACTGAGTTGGGTTTTTAAATTTTCAACCAGGGAGAGAGTTTCTGAGAGTTCCATTCGTAAGTTCTGTATTTCAGCATGTGCTGATTGTGCATAATCAGCCTGGGCAGATTCAGATTCAGATACCCTATCAAGCTGGATCTTGAGCTTCTGAATCTCATTTATGGCAGAAGACAAGGCAGTAGAGTCCATTGAGTGCTGCTTCTGGACAGCCTCGAGTTCAGATTGCCATGCTCGATCACGATCCTGAGAGATCTTACGGAGCTCTTGGACACGATCTTCCTCAGAAGCACAAAGTTCCATCAGCTGCTGCTGGGACTCATCGAGCTTTGCTGACATGGCTGCTAGCTGTTTCTTGGCCTCTTCAGCCTCTTGCTGGGCCTGCGTCTTCCATGATTCAGATGAGCTCAGCTGGTCCTTCGCTTTCTTCAGTTCCTCCTGAAGCTGAGCAAGCTGAGATTCCAATTCGGACAATTTGCTTGGGCGTTTCTTCTGAAGCTGACAAAACGGGGGCAAAATATTAAACAGGTGACGGCGGGTTACTGAAGCATCACAACAGAAACATTCAATAGATGTCAAAAGTAACTAAAATCTGTCGGAGTAACATATATATATATATATAGTATTAGAGACTTGTTCACGTTGCCTCTCTAAGCCACCAACGTTTTATTCATATGGTTTAGGGGGGCCTCCACCTAATACCAATTGGTTTTGGGTTCGATGCCTCAAAAATTCTAACATGGTATCATAGTTGGATCTTGGGTGATTTCTCAAACCAAGTCTTCGCTCCAGATTTGAATCTAGTGTTTCTCTCATGCTTGGTTTATATAGTTTAGGGGTCCCTCCACCTAATACCAATTGGTTTTGGATTGGATATCTCCAAAATTCTGACATATAGGAAATCGTACAAAACAACAAAGGATTAAAAAATGAATAAATAAATAAATAAAAAGTGCAATATGATAAGATACTATAGTAATCCTAAATGAGAGACAAATAAACAAATTAGAGTGTAGCATAATATGTAGAACAAATCTCTCAGTGTCTCAATCCGACAGGTTGAGTCAGTAAAGGTGAGTGATCAACAACCTGCATTGAGCTTTAAACATTGAAACACCAGTTTTTGTTCATACAGAAAGTTCACAGATTAAATTTACGTGAACAGTAACCAATAATCCTTTCATTTCCAATTCAAAAACCATTAAAATTAATATAATTGAAGAAATGAAGAAACAACATATATAGAGGAACAAAAGATCTAGCTGTATGGTGACACCAAAGAGCCAACTACCAATATGTTGAGAATTTCACACTACTTGGGCACATGTATTTTCTGGTGTAACCATCCCTAGAAGAAACAATAACATCATAGCCCAAACTATCATGGTCCCGCTAACAAATGTAAATCACTAACTCATAGGTAATAACTTACGAACTTTCCAGGCATCTTAATGTCTATTTCTTAGTGCAGCTAGAAGCTAAGCACCCTCAATTGTTTTTATTCCTAATGATGCTAAACTACACAAAAATGAATTGATCCTAGAAGCTCTGAATAGTTCCTTATTTATAAACAGGCTCACGTGGTCAGTTATTTATAGAATACCTCAGGCACTGGACTTCGGGGTGATTTGCGCTCTGCAACTTTAGGACTTCTGCCTTTGGGTGTCCTGCTTTCTGGATTTGGAGAAGGAATCGCCTCCGAATCTGATCCAGGCATTTTCAGCTGTTTTGTAGTTCGGGGTGTTGCCAGAGATGTCCTTTTAGGCACCTCCAAAGAGCCAGTTCTGTTCTCAAAAGGAAGGGATGATAATCAGCATACCAAAACATGCAACAGTCTATGGAATCTAGGTAAAGCAACTAAATAGAAAATATTAGGGCGCTAAAAAGAGACATTTAAAAACAAATTAGCAAACCAGTTTCAGCAATGCTGGGTCGCCATCTATTTTTTAAACAAGTTGACTAACTGGAACTGTACTAAGCCCAAACCTTAAGGGAAGTTGCTGAAAGTCTTCCAAAAGAATTGGTTTTTAAGCCAATTGAGCCAGCATTTGTGGCCAAAGATCAATTATTAACTACCATGTCCTGTTTCAGCAATACATATACCTTGATGTATATTGGTCTTGAAACAATCACATCAATGTTCACATTGCAAGTCAATTTATATACATAGAATATCAACTATTCTAAACTAAAAATATACATTTGCATGGAAAAAATTATTGTTTCTTCTTTCAAAATTATTTAATTACTTGGTAAAATCACAAAATTTTCACCATGAAAAATAATCTTTATGATGCTAATGTTTCGTTTGATTAGAAAGAAATAAATAATGGAAAGTGAAAATGATAGAGTGAAGTAAAAAAAAGGAAAGTAAAATATATTTTCTTGTATAAATTTGATTATGATGAGAATTTTACAAGAAAATAGGAATTCTAATTATAACTAACTACTTTTATAACATATTTTAACTTTCTTGTATTTTCTTGTGTTTTTTGCAAAAAACTATAAGCTTAGTTACCATGCTATTATGAGTTGTATTAGAAAATTAACTTTCTTATAACTTTCACCATTTTCATACTAAACCAACTCAATTTTTTATTTTATTTTTTTCATTTATTTCACTTTCTACCATTTCCATCCTAACCAAACTGAGTCTAAAGTGAAGATACAAAATATTCAACGGTAGGTTTAGAAACTTTTTGAACAGTGATGATTAAAATTTACAAAGACTAGTATGGTAAACCGTAGACTGAGGTAATTTTCCAGATCATACCACACCTGGTTGAGACCATTTACCTTTTATATGGTCCAAATTGTCTTTCTTCATAAAATGTTTCAACATGTTCTTTTTTATTTTTTGCATATATTACAACAATTCGGAAATCATTGAGCAGTATAAGTTATAACCCATAACTTAAGAAGTTAGAATTAGAACCAAGGATGTAGTAACCAAAACTGACAACCACCATAAGATTATGTCCTAAAACTGCTACTGAACAAAAACTGCCCCAAAAGAAGCATAAATTCAGTGGCTTATTTGAATAGGGCCCTCTTACTAATTTCTGAAATAAATTTTGATAATACTATATGTCATTTACAGTTCAGCCAGTTGATTCTTGCTCACTTTCTCGAGAAATTAACTATGTAAATTTCTATTAAACAGAAATTGCATCATAAGCAGTTGTGTAAAGTTAATATATATATAACATAATGCTACAAAACCATGTTAATGACAAATATACCTTGATTTTGGTGTTTGCATATTCAATTTCCTGTTGGCTCAAAGCAGAAAAGGACCAGACAAAATGAACTCTTCTACTCGAGAGCCCCACCTGACCCACAACACCTGCAATAGTTCAGATTTGAGAGGAATTCTTGTCTGAGAAAAGATATATCTGACATACATGTGTAGTATGCAAATGATTGGTTTTATGAAGATCATCCAACCTCTGATCGGTATTTGATTACAGAAGCTAGACCAAGCAAAGAAACATACAACACAATCCCTTCAAAGAAACTCCAGAGAAACTACCTCCACTTCCACCAACCAAACCCACAGGGCCACAACAGATAGCCCCCCACCCCCCCAAAAAACAAAAAAAACAAAAAAAATCAAAGGAAACATCATAATACAAGCCCTGTTTACAATTTTTCATTTTGCTTCCCTTTTACTCCATTCAAAAACATTATTAAGACAACAGCATAAAGAATTAAATGATGACAATTACCCACATCACAGTACACCTTTTAGGATTGCCCCATTTACCAACACTTAAAATTGATATTTGGTGTGAAAACACGGTCAATTAGTTCCTAAACTGGGAATCTAATTTAATTGACAACTAAACACAAATTGAACCATATCATGCCAAGAACTGAAAATATTTTTACAAATTTATGCAAAAAATAATACTATCCTTTTCAAATATTCATAAAATTTGAGACATAACCCAAGCTTGTTTCTTAAGATAATAGACCCAATAATCTTGAAAAGACATTTCTCATTGTTTACAAAATTGTCAAATATCACCCCCTCCCCCTCATTCCAACACTGCCTTCTGATCTTCTACAGAAGCTAGAGTCAAACAGACTCAAAAGAGGACTATATCTGAAAAATCACCTAATATAAAAAGACAAAAAAATGCATTTAATTATAATAATTAATAATTAAAAAAAAACCCAGATATCAGATCAGTGAGATGGGTAGTTCTGACATCCAAAATGAGTTCAATCTTCATACACTGTTAACATTTAGATCTACAGACACTATAAGCTTCATGACAGATTTAAAACAAATTACCATTTACCTGAAGCACACAAATATATGGATGTATCTATGTGTGTGTGTGTGTCTGTGTGAGAGAGAGAGAGTATGAAAACCTACTATTAACACAACCCACATTGTCAAAACCAAGCCAGAACTTTCCCAGAAAAAAAAAAATGCGATTTCAACTGAAGCGAAAAGAGAGGAGGAAAAAAAAGAAAGAGAACTCAAGTAGAAAAAGGCATATAACATGAAGTATGTTTTAGAACCGAAAGCAAGTGAAAGGAAGAAGATAAGTGTAAAGGACGGTTTGATGAATTCTGAGAAGAGAATCTAAAATCCATGCTCTTACCTGAAGATCTTGTGTGTGAAAAGTACAGAGTCTGATAACTTTGCTAAGTTTGATTGAAGTATACAAAAACCCTAGCTTTGGAGAAGAAGAAGATGAACGAGAGTTGGCATTTTTGTAATGAAGGCTTAGCTTCTGCTACCTGCTTCTGCGCTCAGTTCCCCAAGTCAGTCACTCTCACTCTCTCTCTCTCTACCTGTCCGCTCTGTTTTGTTTTTTTTTGTGAAAGAAAGTATATACAGCAAAAATTGGAGAGGATGTGACCAATGGCTTTCTTTTTTTTCCTTTTTCTTTTTTTAATATTTGAGACACTCAGGTGTCTTTTGTAATAAATTATTTTAATAATTTATTATTTTTTTATAAAAATAATATATATATATATATATAGAAAAATAGTGATTTGATAATTTATAGTAATTTTTAATTAAAATATATAATTGTCAAACGAAACCTTAATTTATCACTCTTATGTGTCTGATAAATGTCAAATTTTAATTTATTAAGGCTTGGTTTGACATCTATTATATAATCTATCTTTTTATCTTTTTTTCATCACATCAACTCTTTACTTTTCTGCACATCTTTTCGTAAAAAGACAAAAATTATATTTTTTTAGAACATCCCAAACTAGCCCTAAATATTTTATTATGTGAAATCTAATTTCAATATCACATCATTCACGCTGATAAAAAGCCTAATTAAATCGCCGAAGTTTTTGTTCAAATGATTTTTGTGGAAAATTATGATCACGAGGTTGACAAGGACCTTTTTTGTTTGATTCATTGGGAATAAAATAATTAATATGATAAAATAGATTAAAATAATTAATAAAATAAAATATTATATTTAAATTATAATTATTTTATTTTTTATAATCATTAAATCAATTTAAAAAATTAATTATTATTCTAAACATAATTTTTTTAACCTAATTAAAATAATCAATTTTCCAAATGAGTAGTGTGATCATTTTGGGATTAAACTCGGTAATTCATGCAATTTACTTTTGATAAAGTATTAAGGGGTTGTTTAAGGTGTCTTAAATAAGTGTATTTTTTGTCTTTTTTAACTAAAAAATTGAGGACAAAAACATGGATGTTTAGATTAATTTTTTGACTTTTTATGAAAAAATGTGTATTAAAAAATTGTATAAATTAGTGTGTAGAAAAAAATTAGAATTGGGAGTTGTGCAGCCGTAATTGTTGACTTTTGATAAATAGGGTTAACTTTTTAACTTTTTGAATAACTTTTTGACTTTTTAACTTTTTATGGACTTGTCAAACTTGGCCTAAATAGAATTTTCATGATAAAAGGAAGGGCAAGTAACAATGGAAGATAGAAAAAAATAATTACAAAAAGTGATAAATAGTATAAATATTAATAATTAAAATCATAAATTTTGTCACTGATGTATAATAATTTTTAAAACTCACCCTCAATGGTAATTTTTCCTAAAAATAAAGGTGAACGGATATCGGTAGGTATATATTTGAATTACATTTATATTATTTAAATTTAGTAACTATTCTTAAATTATATTTGTCGCCCATTTGTAAAAAAAATTAATGTAATTTAAACATATAGTTATTAATATCTAATAATCTTGATCTTTTACAAAAATATTTTAGTCAATGAATTTTAAAAATGAATGGTTTAAATCATTAAGGTCGGCCATAAAATGAACTTAGTAAGCCCAAACGCTCTTTCAAATTAAAATGATCGATTGAAGATAATCCAAACACATATTCAATGGCCAACTTACGAGAACTGAAACACAACCTACACCATTGTTGTTTGGTTATACTTCCATGAAATTCTAAAAATTACAATGACCCTTGTTAGAGTTTGTTGATTCCTCAGCAAAAATATTAAAATGACTTTTTTTTTTATACATTAGAAATTTTTAAAATGACTTGAATACCCTTACATGCCATCTCCTTGAGATAGATTACTCCACCATCCATTTGCAACCCATCTCGCTGTTCATCACCAATAATTTTGCTCAATACTTTCTAAAGCAGTTCATCAAACACCAATAATTTTGCTCGATATTTTCTAAAGCAGTTCATCAAACATGACAGGGATACAAAAATTTCAATTCCATCACTATTTCTACTAAAATCAATCAAAATAAAATTAAAAACAAATGACCTACGAGAAACTAATTAAGAAGAAATAAATGCAATATAAAGATTGTTAATTTATAAAAAAAAAAAAAAAACGAGTTGTCAATATCATTATTACGATCCATCAAATAAATTAAAATGTATTTATTTACCAATCAGTTCTATTAAGTATATTTTTTTTACCTATAGTTAAATTTATTCATAAAAATAAGAGTGACTGATAGAACTGGTTGTTTGGAATGTACTAGATTAATATACTTTTTTTATTTTTTACGAAAAAATGTGTATAAAAATAAAAAAGTAATGTAACTTAAACATGATAAAAAACAAAAAAAAAATGCATTTTCTAGTGTTAGCCAAACAACTTAATAGGTAACAAATCTCAAAAGTAAGTTCCAGTAGTAATTTACTCATAAATATTGATGATGGCACAAATGGTGTGAGATAACTTAAGGATTAATTAATGAATGAGACAAATTATGATGAGACTATAAATTTTAAATAAATATATATATGTATATGTATAATTTTTAAATTGTCAAAAATATCTGTATTAAAATTGAAGAAATTGCAAATCAATAGTAAGACTAAAAAAAATTACAAAATTATAAAAGAATTTATCACTTCAATTATTAAAATTAATAAGTTTTACCATTAATTTATAATTTATTTTAAAAATTTACTCTGTATTGCAATTTTTCCATTAAAATTCAACTTCAGGACCCAAACTTGAATTTAATCATTAATGAAAATTCCACCTCACTTTACATGGAAGTGGGTCTCGGTTTTTTATTTATTAGAGAAATGGGTCTCACACCTCACTTTGTGCACTCGTCTCATGTCTGGAGTTAAAGCGTGGGACCTATTTTGATGTAAATTGTGAACTAGTAATAACTACTATGATCATTTCTCGTTATATATTTAGGAAATTTTTTTTATCAAATCTCTTATATAAGTGTAAGATTTACATAAATTTATATATACGTAAGTCTTACACTTATATAAAAAATTTGATAAAAATAAATTAATAAATTATTTGAGACCCTTAATATCATTCATATATTTAAAGGGCCGTGCTATGTCCCCCGAAATCCCCCCCTAATCCCCTGAATTTTCAAACCAAGGCAAAAAAAAAAAAAAAAAATTCTCCAAAACGACATCATTTTGGGGATTAGGGAGATTAGGGAGACTTTTTAGGGCTCCAAATCATTTTCCATATTTAAAAAAGAAGTTTCCCTCAAATCCATTAGTGGGTTGGAGTGTTAAGATTGTGGGTCCAATTTCAGATTTAATTCAATAATTCCAAGCTTTTACCTTTTAATATCTATTAAATAGATTATTATTGTAAAAAATAATATTATATATATGAATTAATATACTAACAGATGTTGTGGTATAATTTTAAAAATTTTAAGTATTTGTAATTTGTATAATAGGTGAGGTTTGTAATAATGATATAACATTAATTAGTACACTAGTATGTATATTAATTAGTGCATGTAGCACCACCGGTATTGTAAAAATTAGTTGGTTATGTGTCAATAATTAAATAATTAAATTATATTTATTTTGTAAAAAAATAAACAGTCAATTCTTGAAATCATACGTAGCATTTATTTTTTTTTAAAATAAATTTGATTTAATTATATGAGTATCAATATCCAATCAATATAATTTGTGCACAAATAATTTACTTAAATTGTATTAGTAGATAAAAAATTTCAAAAAATGTTTCATACAACTACTTTAACACCACTAAACAAACCACTAATGACGTGGCGAGATGTAGACCCCACACTGTGATAGTTTATCTTTTGTTTTGTTTTATTTTTTATTTTTTTTTCCTTATACTACCACGTAATTAGTGTTGATTTTAGTGATGGTATATTCTTGGCCTAAATCGGAACCCAAACAATTTAAATACTAAAGGGAACTTGAAGTGAGCTCAAAACCCATAAACAATCCTAGGGCTCGTTAGAGAATCTCACAAAAAAGTTAAAAAATTACTAAATTATTTATCATCAGTTAAAAAAATTAAATATTATATTAACACTTTCATTCACCAAAAAAAAAAATCAAAAAATAATTTTTTTTAATAACTTTCCAAACATAATTTTTACCTATTCAAAAAGTTTAAAAAAAAAAAAAACTACAAACGCCCACAGATTCCTATAATAAGGTGTTGTTTAATGTTATTTATATGAACAATTTAAATTTATTTTATTTTAGAAATTAATAATAGACTATTTGCTACAACTTCTACTTCCAGTTCAATAGGTGAATTTTTTTTTTTAAATATAATGAAAATATTTATTATATTTGGCTTATATTTTTTCATTATCACTTTAGTTTATAATAATAGGATTGCTTAAACAACTTGTAATTTTTTTTATTATTTTAGAAATTTGTGTTATAATAGGATTATTTGGGATGTTCTAAATAAGTACACTTTTTGACTTTTTATGAAATATGGGGTTGGGTTTGAAGTGATGTGGTAGAGAGATGATGTGACTTAAATATGATAGTGACTTTTTTACTTTTTTAAGGAATGTCAAACTTAGCCTAAAGATTATAATTTCCACTTACAACTTATTAGATATAAATAAATAAATTAATTTTAAAAAAATAATTATCTAAAAATTGATTACTTCGTGCTTCTAAATAAGTAAATTTTTTGACTTTTTATGAAATATAAATTGAATTTAAAATGATGTGGTAGAAATGTGATATGACTTAAATAAGATAGTGACTTTTTAATTTTTTTAAGAGACGCCAAACCTAACCTAAATTATACAAACTCTATATAAAATCTTAAAAGTATGAAAAGCCTTATCTCCACTTATAATTTAATAAATAAATAAAATAAACGTGTATGCTACAAGATTCTTTGATTCTTTGATTCTTTGGCAAAAAAATTTCTTTGATTCTTTGACTCTTTGGGTGATATGTAATTGGTGATGTTTATTGTATAATATTCATATTGATACAATACCAACCATAGATAAATTTAATAACCATAATAAACTATAATGTTCATAACAACTTACAAACCATAATAATAACATCTCAATTCTTCCACAAACCATAAAAAAAATATCTTC